ATGTAGTGTAATGTAGCACTACTTATCATGAGAAATAACCAATTCCTTCATGGATTTTCAACGCATTGAATTATAACTAAGTACGTGCTTTTAGCAATTGATGCTTACTTTTTAATAAACAAGGAACAAAAAAGTTTTGATGCTATTTTGTTATATGAGGCTTCAATCTCGAGTTATTTATAGAATTATGTCGAAAAAAAGGCATTTTTCGGTAATTGCAGTTATTGATCTTTCACACAAATTTTAACCAAAAGAATCACTACGAACACCCAATTGTTGTTTAGAATATTGTTCCGGATCACATGCTACCAAACATGTAATTATACATACCATAATTAAAAGGATTTGACCTTCCATCAACTGCGTCGCCATGCACATATCTTCATACGTGGAGTAATTTCGAATAGCTGTGCTGAAGCTGTAGAAAACCTTAATTGGTCCTACAACGGCCTGAGGTAGAGGGGTTGTAGTCGGTAGGTCCGAGAACACCTTCCTTGGGAATCCGACACTATCCAATCATAGGGACGGCAAAAACCGACTGCGCTATGGGTAGATCATGGCAGCCGCCGCATATAGCATGCTTTGAATACGTAATTGAAGATAGTGCAGGAAAACTCGCAATACAAATAACTTTTGACAATAAGGAAAAAAGTTCACATGATCCTCGATGTTCTCTAGATACTTCCTGGCCTTTTCCTTATGTTTCCCTGTTGTTTTAGGGAATATCGTATGCATAGAAAAGAGATGTCAGGTCGGAATTGCAGCGGACACTAATAAAGGAAAAAAAATAACATTACACCAATTTATGTGTAACAGAAAGGGATACAGATAAACAGAATTTGAGCATGTTGATAGCATTGGACTTTAAAGAAAGCTCAACTCAGGAATTTAGGAAAGAAGACACTTGTTTAAAGATATAATTCAACCAGACAGTTATAAAGCCGATTCTATTATTTGATTATCTCTTTTCACTCTATCTTTACTACTCATGAAACATTTCCTAATTCAACAAGGACATGTTCAAAACGCAACATTCCCAAGTGGAAACAAAAAAGAAGATACGTTCATTTTCACAGATAATTTATGAACTTTGTCAATTTTAATCGTCCTAACTATATCAATTTCTGGCACACCACGAATAGGACTTGAAGGACGGACAGCGTTGCTTTAAACCTTCGAGTACGGAACACTGAAACCTAGTGATAAGGAGAACCAAAGTCGGTCTTACAAACCTGATTTTGGCGTTGTGCATGCACTAACAACGTCAATACTACGAGCGTAATGTCATTCCCAATACCATGATCGTTGTGGTCTTGATCATACATTTGCTCATAACTAATAGTTATTGTGACTCAATTATTGACCAGAAAAAAGTTGTAATTGTTTCCTATTTTTTTTGTAGCAAATATCAAAACAAATACAACTATTAAAGAACAAAAACGTTGATTAAAAAATTTTTTTGTTTTAATTCCTACTACTTTTGTCACACCTGCTGCTAAAATGCAAAACAAAAAAACAAAGTAAAAATATAAAAACGTCAGATTGAATGAAATAGGAGCTACTCTAATATTTATACTAATGACAAATGCTACTGCACACCAACATAATACCCAGCTAGGCAAAACGAACACCATTGGAATCAGGGCAGTATGACACACATTAATGAACACATTTTTAATTGTTTAGCAATTGGCTATTTTGGACATTCCCTTTGGTGGTTCTTTTAGATACATTTTAATTTCAAATACATCTAACTACCTAATAGTTAATACAGTCAAAACCGTTTACTACGACATCGTTTAGAACAACATACCGGTTATATTGACCAAAATTATAGGTCTCGACTGAATTATGTTAAACCGTCTTATAATAAACATTGGTTTTTACGACATTGCTTATTACGACATATCTTTTTAAGCGTCTACATTTAACTGAAATTTTCGGAGAATTATATCTGTTAGAACGACCAACTGTATTGTAAACATTTGAATAGGTAACAGTATCCACATCTATGATAATTCTCAAAATATCTGCTACTGCTTAGGAGTTTATTGATGCAGATAACTCTATTGCAATTTGTACACCAACTACGGAAGATGATATTGTACAAGAAGTTCAAGAGGAAAATGACGAACAGGAAGAGACTGAAGAACAATTTACAGTGCCAACATTGAATGATGGTCTCAATGTTGTCAGTGTATTACGAAAAATTGTTTTTTTATTCTAATGAACAGTTTCATATGCAGGGAAGTTATGATGATACATTCATTAAAATTAAACGTGAGCTACAAAGTCTGTACGCACGTCAGAAGTGTTCCAAACAGACTAAAATTCCAGATTTTATTAATATAGAAAAATGATAATTATATGTATGTAATGTNTAAAACAATTCAATTAACAGTAACAAATAATTTTTTAATCGTTTTGCATATTGCTTGTAAGATAAAAAAAAATACTTTTTTATATTGATATTCTAAATTATTGTGAGTAGAGCATGTCTTGATTTGCACGATTTCGGAAATCAACCACATTTTTTTATGCAGCTGCAGATTTTGCTATGGTTGTATTAATAATTATAATTATCATTGGACCCGATATTATATTCCTTGCCTAGGAAATTTATACACAGAAATTATTCAGTTGGTCTTCTGCAAACCAAACGTTGTGGATAAGCTGAATAAGTATGATATTTTGAACTGTCAGATAAATGGTTTAGATTAGATTCGATCAAATGGAAGTTCAGGAGTTTCTTCTGCATACGAAAGTTTAAACGAACTAGTGGAATAGTATAAGTATTTTTGGATTTTGGTTGTTCCACGGTGCGCAGTCTGGGTGCTGTATATAAAACCTGCCATCCTATATGATATCAGTAGGCTGTCGGATAGTGGCCTCCCACGTGACGTGTCGCTTCCTCCTCTGTGCAGGAGTTGCGTGCGGCCAACGAGACGTTGCGTTCGCTGCAGAAGCAGTTGGAGCTGATGCCCTCGCCCTCCAGCAGCACAATCGACCTTCTTCTGGACACGAAAAATGCTAGAATCGCGACCCTCGAGCGCACTGTAGACTTGCTGGAGCGCGAGGTCCGGCGATTGGGCGGAGGATCGCCAATTTTGCCGTTGTTTCCGGCGTTACTACCGCCTCCAATGCCGCCGCCACAGCAGCAGCCGCAGCAGCAGCAGCGTCCCCTGTTGCCGTTACAGCCGCTGCCCCATGAGTTCTACCTCGTACCCCCCATTACTACTACCACCATCACCACCACCACTGCCATTGCCACTGCCACAACCACTGCCATTGTCGACCATGTTGTTCATCCGCGTAAGCAAGTAAGTTTCCTGTTGAACAATGTGCTCGTCGGGACGGGAAAGTACAACGCCAATACAATCTCGTCCCTTCCTCCATTCGATGACTGTTGTAACTAGATGTACAGACTCTCTTACTACTACTAAGTAACTACTACTCTACTACTACTACTACTACTTGTCCTCCGGCCCGCTTTGTTGCCTATGACCGTTTTACCACCTCGCTGTCAATTCAATGGCACAACCGGCATGTTCCCGCATGATATAGTGCATGCGTACAATGCTCTGTGTGCAGCTGGACGAGTTCCGTATGGAGATCCAACGGAGGGATCAAGAGATCCTAGCCATGAGCGCCAAAATGAAAACGCTCGAGGAACAACACCAGGACTACCAGCGACACATCGCCGTCCTCAAGGAATCCCTATGTGCTAAAGAAGAACACTATAACATGTTGCAAGGCGATGTCGAAGAGTTGCGTCAGCGACTCGAGGAGAAAAACCGACTGATCGAAAAAAAGACTCAACAGGCACAACAGGAAAGACAGAGGGCTACTGCCGAACTAGCCGAACTCAGAGAACATATGGACATCAAGGATCGTAAAATCAACGTTCTACAACGAAAGGTAATTATATTTCAGTAAATACAAATTCATCATCAACAGTTAATATTTTCCCTTCCAACAAGTGAGCAATTACCATTCATAATTTCTCTCCATTTTATGTAACGTTTTATCGTTCGCGGACTTTTTTTTCATATTTATTTTACTTTATTAACTTTATAATTTAAGCCGAAAAGGTGACATGTACCTACATAAATCGTTCAGCATAAACTGACAATGTACATGATCGGTCCTTAAGTTACCATCGACTGAATCTCAAGTTACTTTTGTGTAGTAGTCCCATCTAAAGAAATTGCTTCAAGTAGCTATACTTATCTTTCAAGATTTACTTCTGCTGATTTACTTTTTCGCTTTTGAAACTTCCTCAAACAAAAACATTAAATAAATACTAAGTTTCAGAAACGAAATAGATACTTAACCTCTGCATTTCAGTTTATTTCAAGTTTTGCGTTTATAATGACGTATACGTTCAGAAATTTTTGTTAGTTTAGTGTGCAAGTGTTTTTCCGTTTAAAATGCAAACTTGTCATAGATTGAAAACCTAGAAGACCTTCTTAAAGAGAAAGACAACCAAGTAGATATGGCACGAGCACGATTGCAAGCCATGCAAGCCCATCATTGCTCTTCTGAAGGAGCACTGTCCTCGCTCGAAGAAGCAATTGGTGATAAAGAAAAACAAATGCAACAGCTCCGCGAACAACGGGACCGTGCTGAACAGGAAAAGCAGGAAGAGAGAGAATTGCACGAACGAGAAATTGCCGAATATAAAATGAAAATACACTCCTTAGAAAGCGAAGTAGAGAAATTGACCGTCAGACTCGATCGTGCTAATGCGGACCGTGACAGGCTGGAGGCCAAGTTGGAAAGCTCTCAATCGGAGCTAGGAAAGTCAAAGGCTGAACTTGATAAAGCTACTATAGAAGTAGGACGTAGCGGCGCCGATTGGGAGCAGGCGAAGCAAAGAATAGCACGTCTGGAACTCGAAAACGAGAGACTGAAACAAGATGTAGACCGTTCCACAAGAACGTACGGTCGTAACATAGGAAGCATGCACGACTTAGACAAAATTGAATCTGATAAAACAGCTTCCGACTTGCGCCGTTGCCAAGCAGAACTTAGGGTCACCCAAGCAGATAATGAAAGAGCGCGATCGGAAGCCACTGCTCTCCAAGAGAAATTAGAGAAGTCTCAGGGTGAGGTGTATCGTTTGAAAGCACGACTGGAAAATTCGCATCAGGAACAGGACAATCTCAGGGAAGAATTAGAAAGAGCACACGCTTCAACTGCTAGATTGCACGCGGACAAGGAACGGGCTGCAGCCGAACTAGAAAAATTAAGAGAAGAATTAGAACGCGCTCAAGCAAATCTGGGAAAAACGCAACTTCAACAAGACAAATTGCAGAATGCTTTGGATAAAACTCAAACGGAAGCAGACAAATTACAAGAAAAGCTTGATAAAGCAACAGGAGAAATAAGAAGGGTAAGTTTTTAACAGCTGTTAACATCGTCTTGTTCATAAAATTTAACGTTAGCCACATCTTTACGTCGATTTAAATGTGAAACAAAAAAAAAGATGTATATAAGAATCAAGTTTTATCCAACTATTGGCTACTGCATTAACCAACAATATTCTTACTTAATTTATTAACTTTGCAGATTGTTCCAAATGAATAAGTATGAACTTTTACAAGTCGAGAAATCTTTCTGTTACTTAAAATATCACCAATTAAATATTTCTGACATTATATAATTTATTTTCTTTAATCTTTTTTCCATTCTCATTCTTCTCTTCACTTAAGTTGTCGCTGAATTGGAAATAAATTACCAATTTTATAATTAATTTTGTGTAGAAAAATACATAAATTCAATATCGTATTTATCGGTGCCAATATTTCTCTCAATAATAATTTTATTGTACTTGTAGCTTCAAATGGAAAAAGAAAAGGTCACTTATGACTATGATAACTGTCAAACGCAGCTCGATAAGGCGTTAGCACAAGTTGCACGTATTCAAAAAGAACGAGACTCTTTACAACTCGACTTCGACCGTGTAAGAGATAAATACGAAAAAACCCAGGTAGATTCGGTTCTCGTCTTCAAAACAGACCTATTTCTAATAATCCAATTTATTTTATAGATCAACGTAACTCGCTTGCAGAAAGAAAAAGATACGTTGGAAGATGAATGCAATAAACTGAAAGATCGCATAGAAATTCAAATCGGTCAAGTTGCAAAAGCACAAAGAGAAAAGACAGACTTAGAAAGGGATCTAGATGTTTTGAAAGAAAGGTGGGAGAAGGCGCATGTAATGAACCAAAAACTACAGTTAGAGAAAGAAGACGCTTTATCGGAAATTGATATGCTTAAAGACAAATTAGAAAAAACAATATACACGTCTCAAAAAGCAATAGACGAACGTGAAAACGCCAATAAAGAAATAGAAAAAATGATTGAAAAATACGACAGGTAAATCCTTATATATAGCAAGTCATAAGTACTGTTCTTATAATCTGAGTTTTGTTTTTAGGTCCCAAAGTGAAGTTTACCGAATCCAAAATAAGATGGATGTTTTACAAGCTGATAAAGATCGCTTAGAGTTAGAAGTCGAAAAACAACAGCTAGTTATTGCAAAATCTCGTGATGACCAACGCAAAATGCAAGAAGAACTTCAACATGTTAAAGAAATGTACGATCGAGCTACCATGCAATTAAGTAGAACAAAAGAAACGGAAGAAAAATACAAGGAGGAGGCTGATCGCTTGAATATAGAAATGGAAATGACGAGAGAACGTTACGAAAAAGCACAAATGGAAATAAGACGCATCCAAAACGAAAAAGATAAATTCCATTCCGATTTAGAACGCCTCCAATATGAGCTTGAAAGAGCTCACAGCCAGGCAGCTAAAGCTCAAACAGCTCACGAGAAAGACCAAGAAGAAATCGCTCGCTTACAAGTAGAAGTTGAAAAATCGCATGAAAAACATGATAAATTACAAGTAGAGTTCCGCAAAATTGTTGCAGAATACGATGCCTTACGTGAACCAACCCGAAATCGTTATTCTAAATACGAAAGTGAAGACAGAACCAAAGAAGAGAATGAAAGGCTGAAATTAGAAGTGGAACGATTAAGAGAGAGGCTGGATAAAACTCTTACCGAATTAGATCGCACAAGGAAAGATATGGCACTAACAGAAGCTACTAGAGGTAAATATCAATATGAACAAGAGAGAGAAAAAAGTGGCGAGATTGAACGGCTTAAAGAGGAGCTACAACGATATCTTACTACTAATCAGCATCTCGAAACGAAATTGCATGAGCTTACAATACAGCTCGATATGGCAAGAGCAGAGGTAAACAAAGTCACCGCCAATCAAGAGAAGCAAAGACTGGAAATGGAAAGGACCCTAATCGAATACGAAAAACTCAAAGATCGCTTAGAAAAACTCAAAATTCAAAACGACAAACTCGAAAAAGAAAACGATAAACTTAAAATGGATCTTGCCCAAGCCGATAGACGTCAGACCCTTGCAGCAGACAAAGTAAAGTCAGATGAACGCATCGAAATTGAAAGGCTCAAAGAAAAATATGAGAAAGCAATTCAACAAAGAGATGCCACTGAAATGGAAGCAGGAAGATTGGCAAAAGAACTCGAAAAAGCGCAAATACATTTAACGAAGGCATTAGAAACCAACGAAACCACCAAGATCGAATTCGAACGAATGGCAAACGAACTAGCAAAAATGCACGAACGAATGGAACGAGAGAAAATGGAATGGAAAACAATGGAACAGGAAAGAGATGTCCTACGGGCAGAGCTACAGCAACTACGCACTGGAATGGATAGTAGACGAACCATGGACCATAGAACCCAAGAAACTATCGTTAAACTACAACAAGAATTAGCACAAGCATCTAGAGAAAGAGAAAAAATGGCTGCACTTTTAGATAAACAAGGTCGTCAAGGAGAATCAATCGATAAGCAAATTATTAAATACGAAGCCGATATAAAGCAACTCACGATGGAGAGAGATCAGCTCGTTGCACAACTAGAAAAATCCCAAGACATGCTAATGAATTTCCAACAGGAACTAAATCAATGTGAAGAAGAACGTGAGAGATGCAAAGCAGAAGTAAATAGGCTTAAGGCTGAGCAGAAGAAAGTAACACAAGATGTCGAAAGAGGAACGAAGGAGATATTAGACAATCGGGACAAAGAGATAGCAAAACTGCAACAGCAACTTATAGCTCTTCAAAAAGAGAGGGACACGCATAGACAAAGAGCTGAAAAGGCTGAGATGAGACTGCAAGAAACGGGGGCAAGAGGTGACTCAGAATTAGAACAATGGCGAAAAGTTGTGGAACAAGAAACCGCAAGAGCCGATCAAGCTGAAAAAACTGCCCAAGATCTACAGAAACGAATACAGGCCATGGAAAAACAAATGCAACAACAATTACAACAAATGGCACAATATCAGAAAGCTGCCGGAATACGTCCTCCATCTGAAGACGAAAAGGAAATGAAAATATTAAGACGAGAACTAGAAAAATATCAAACGGATTTAAGAAATAGCGCTACCGAGAAGGAAAGACTACAGTCACAATTGGAAATGCTCGTACAAGAATTGGAACAGAAGCAGGTGAGAGTGAAAGTCTGTAAACTTGTACTCGTCGGAAATGTTATACCTCTAACCACCTTTTAGGTTCTTTCTTCCTTATATTTGATTTATTTCTATGTTTTGTTANAATGTATGTATTTCAAAAAAATCACATCTCTGGACATAATATTAGCAAAATCCTGGAAAAATTCTAGTGTAAACGAATTCCATACTTCTTAAGGATCTTTTACTTCGGTTCAATGGTTTTTCTAATATGAATTTCTGATTTCCTGCAGAGGACTTTAAAGCCAAAAAAATAAAATTTGTGTTTCGTATTGCATACTATTAAATGTTCTCTGTTAATTAATGCGGAAATTAAATAAAAAAGCAGCTTTTATTGTCTTTGAAGGTGCCCAAACACTGGGATTATATTAGGAGAACTAGCTGCTAGGAGACTTGCATATTACCGATATTGAATATAATTTCTACCTGCATAGATTGTTTGAATCCAACCATTTTATAGTATAACATTATAATTTCAATGAGTGCAATTATTCTTCTTTTTCAGGATACTTTAATATCTATAAAAATATCTGAGTATTTATCATGACTCTGTTATTTTGATTAATGAATGAAAATGCAATCCAAAATATTTTCATAGCGAAAAGTAGTAATTGATTATAAAGAATTAAATTTAAAAACAACCTATTTGGTTAAAAAAAGATGTTCATTTCTATAAGCAAGTATATGTAACTAATTATCATTTAAATTTTAATTTCTACGACAAATTAATGTAAATGAGAAGAAAGGCTTTTCTTTTGTTATTCAACAGGTTGTTCTTTCATTACAGGATGAACTGAGTGTGTCTCTTACTGAGGAAAATGATCTCGATGTTGGCTTGGAAGCCAGCGACATAGAAATCAGTTTTCCTAAAGGCGGAAATACAGCATCATCCTGACATCATATACATACGTACACGTATCCGTTGTGTCTGAGTGTTAATCCATATGATCTAAGCAATAAATATAAAATAGGTAGTTCATTGAAGAAAAGGCTGGTTTTTGGTGTTGAACCCGTTGTAAACCGCGCCCAGTTGCGAATATAAAAATAATTGTGGTATCGTTAGTTATTGTGATAGATCGTATTTTTTTAGTTGATCCAAGCGACAATAAGACAAAAAAAAACAATTATTGTATCCTTAAAGAAAGAAAACTAGAATGAGGCATTATTGTTTGTTAACTGATCGAGACCCAAAATATATTTCTTCTTTTAATGAAGAAAACGCTAACAACCTTTATTAAATACCAATTTATAGGTAACAACTAGTTCAGCTTTCAGTATAGTCGCACTGAACATGTGTACAAAGTGATTTAAAATTTACAGTGATTTTGTCGATACTAAATAGTTTGTACGTATTATAGTCGTGTGTATATAAAAATTAGACGCCCCCATTTATCATGGGCTAAATACCCGACATTATTTTAAGCGTAGACATGGGACAGTAGCAGGATAGTGCATTTCTGAAAGTATGATTTTCTGAGACGTAAAACTACTTCTGCTTTAAAAGTGTTTTTTATTTAAGTTAATGATAAATTCGGCCGTTTTGTAGTAAGGTAGACACAGGAAATTAAAAGAACATCTTAATTATTAAATGCGAATGTATGTTATAATAAAATATATTATAACAACAGTCAATGTCTTACTCTTGTGTTTATTAATCGACAGCATACATTTCTGACGCATTAGAAACTAAAATGAGCATTACAACCCCTGCGGTCTGAAATTAGTATATTAGCTAGCAAGGGAAGAAAGTACGCGTGTGAATTTCTACTTGACCCGAAGACGAAAGAAGTAAACTCTAGAGAAAAGGTGTACTTTCATTCCGATACGAGTTTTTAACATTATCTGTCATCGAAAATACTATTCTTCTTGATTTTAAGGTCGAATGCGTAACATAACCTCCCAACCTAACCTCCCAGGCAAAAAATTGTATTTGCTGATTGTTTATGGAGAAAGTATTTTAACATCCGTCGCGTGAAAATTACTACCCGAGTCGAAGGCAAAAGCGGAAATCACGGGGAGGATGGTTAAATCTTTTCCTAATAAAGAGAAAGAGATGTTATATCCGGAATAGAATAAAATTAGGGAAAATCTCGTACTTTCGGTATGAGTTTAGTGAAAAAATATTTTTTTTCCCCACAGAAATGCTCTTCTGTTCAACAAAGACACCAAACAAGGGGTAATAGGTACGGTAAATTATGGTAGGTAAAAGTTCCCCCTTCCCCAAGGGGCATTTGGTTTGTACAAAGCGACCGAATTTACATTTTCACTTAACGACCCGTCGAGTGTACCGCGGCTCATTTTGATAGATTAAAGAATTTCTTAAGTAAATAAGAAAAAACAATAATATACGTAACAAACGAATTTGGACAAAAGCGGAACTAGGACAAAAGCGATCTTACACCTTTGGAAGGTATCACATTGATTACAATTGATTTAGTATCAGCGTATTCTATAGATCACTGTATGTCAGGCAGTGTAAGTACAGAAGAAACGTGTATTTTAACCCTAACTGTTCTGTTCTTTTTACAATTCGACAACCAAAAGTAGGGACATAACCGCAATACTACTCACTTTGTTCGTGTTGTCTTTTCCTACCGTAACCTTATGATTCTTTTTTTTTTGCTGTTTTCTATAATACCATATTAAGCGACGCAATGAAAATTTGTGGTGTTAACACTTTTGCCCACTTCTATTGGAATACTTGCAGGTAAGTTCAAGGGTAGAAATTTTGTCCCAGTTTCGCTTTTGCCTGGATTCACTTGTATGTCGACCCCTAATCAATATCAACCATTTCTAATAAGTATGCTCCGACATAAAGAGAATCTATTGTCTAGAAATGCACTATTTTGCCAATATGTCACATGTCACTACTTATTGTATCATTCATATTGGTTGGAAGAATAATGACCACAAATTTTGCAATTTATAATTTAATTAAAAGGCAAAAATTTCAATGAAGATCACTACCGTATATTTAAACGTTGTAAGTGACGAAAAGTATTATTGTTATTTTTTATTACATTATTACTCATACATAAATGGCCACAGTTTGCTACTTTTTGTGGACATTGCTCTGTCAGAACCTTGTACAGAACGTTACTTCGTCATAATGTCATACGTGTACTTTCAGAAGAGAGCAGAGAATGAACAATGAGCATTATTCGCTTTCTTTTCTACACCAATCATAAGCCAACAGATAAGTAATACTACAACAATTTTTTTCACCATAAACCGTTTATTGGTAACAGGAATGCATATATTCTTGTACCTAATACTGTTTTTACAATACAAATTATCGTGGGTTATCTTATTTTTATGTACTTATACATATAAGTACGGAATTATGATTGATATGGGCCTGTTACTACTTTTCAATGTAGATTATAAATTAACGAGGTAGCACGGAACAGCGGACCAGAGGTTTTCAAATAATTTCAAAAATAATTTAATTGAAGGAAAACTAAAGTATCTACTAAATAGCGGAATGGCATCATTGCAGAACTACGAAACTGAAGGCCGATTCATGCTACAAATCAAGACGCAGTTTGATCACTAAACTTAGGATTTTTATGCACAAAAAATGCTTTAAATATACCCGTAAATATGTCACTTTCGTTTTTATAATTTATGTATTTTTATGTACTTTATTTTGATGAATTCTGCTTACTGGATAATAACAAAAATTAATTTAAATAACGTTTATGCGTAAAAAAATAATAATCATTGCACAATTATAATTACAATATGGAATGCGATTATGCCTAAATTAAACCTTGCAAAAACAAGCCATCAACAGACCAATTTTTACACTATTGGTTTTCTCAAACTCTTTCATACTGATTGAAAGTGATTTTAGCAAAATATTTTGATTAAGAACATCAACAAACAAAATTGCAGTATAGAGATCAAGAACATCTGTTGTTTCATCGACAAAAATATACATAAAAGAAATATAGAGACACTCAATACTAACTATTTCCAGGTAAATTTCACTTGTCATATTACCAGTAGGTAAAACCTCATTTAACGCTTTTAAACGCATGTATGGGTCAAATATACGTCAATTTATGTTCAAAAATTAAAAAATATTCATTTTATGCATAAAAGTTAAAAATATTCACTAAAACTTGATTTTATGTGAAATATGTAGTCTTTAAATACCGTTAAGCGTATTATTTCAGTGCAAAATAGATACATCCACAATACATGAAGAAAATAAAAAACGAAAATTTACCTAAATATTAAAGGGATATTTACAATTAGCTAGCCCGTTTATTCGTAAACGAAAATAATAAAAATTACAATTTGGACCCGAATTCATAAAATCCCAGCAGAAATAAAATTACTAGGTATTTTAGCTGATATTACAAATTTAAATGTAATAATTAAGAAACATGTCAAAATTGAGATTATCACAAGTTACCTAATAAATTCTACTATTTCAACAGTAAATTCAGTTATTTACAATCGCAAATTATCATTTGTGCGTTTTCTCCGTGTATTAGGGGTGATATTCCTAATAATAAAAAAGATGTTTTTTACATAAAATCCTAACTCTACTGATCACGGTTGGGTCATGGCCAGATGAAACACTCGTAAGTCAACTGGCCCATATTATACGGTACTGTCAATCAAGTGTAGTTTAAAAATTTTAAGTGCTTTTCAATAACAAATTTAGCTATAACAGCACTTAGATTAGACGCAAAAAAAAGGAAAAATACTTTTTAATGTTTTAGAAAGTATTACCATAAAAATTTATTGTTTCCATCAGTCTTTTTCAAGTGTACGTAAAAACAAGTGTACATTTTTATTGTAATACTTTCAGAAACATCAAAAAGCATTATTTTCTTCATTTGTTACCCTTGTATAAAAAGGTTGAACTATAGTTTTGATCGCAAAGGACTGAACACACTTTCGGTTTCATAACAATTGTCCAGTCACGATCACATCAAAATATCGTTGAAGAGAGAAATACCGCGATCAATTGACTCGATCATGGCTTGACCGTACCGTATAATGTGTGTAAATACTGCCTTACACAA